CTCTGAAACCTGTCAGTTGAGACAATGAACCCTTTTCCATACAAATGCACTAATACACGTCTGCACTTATTTAAGTGACTTAAACATCTTTTGCACTTAACAGATGGATAATTCTGTTTTAGTTTTCAACAAGCATCTAGACAGAGGTGATGAGGACTTTTGAGACACCTCAGAATTCCATGGCCACCACGAGGATTATGGGGCTAACCCAGACTGTTGCTGGCTCAACTCAGCTAGCCACTTTCTTGATCCAGTGATAGGATTGTGACTGGAGGTGGGGCAACTAGCAGTGTTACACCATTAGCTCCTATGATCTGGGATAGGAATATGGCATCTGTTTTGAGCGTCCACTTCCAGAGCCTAATAGAAACCCATTCTGGAGGGCTCTGAAGATGAATACTTGTTCCCCCAACTCTATCAATGATTTTGTAGGACTGGCAATGATCCTTTATATTCAGCTATCAATGAAGTGCCCTTAGATATCCTAGCCCCTAGATTTGTCAAGACAGGTCTCCTTGATTTGTAAAAGACCTGTCACAACTGAAATGAGAGGAAAGATGACTAGAGTGCTGGTGGATGAAGTAGGGTGCAAAATCTGATCAATTCCATCTTAAAGATTATTGAAACGCTTATACCATAGCTAAGCAAGAGGCAGAGAGGATTTATTTGCCGCCTTCATAGCACTGAATAGTGTCAATCAATCAGCGATATTGTTTTGAGTAGTGGACAATCTAGTTAAAGCAAGCTGCTTTCCAGTCAGTGGCTGGTACAGGTCTTGCCCATTATATTGAAATTTCTACTTTGGAGAAAAAAAATCAAGGAAATATGGACTTAAGTCTCTGCTTCTATGGATGCAGCGTGATTTCTGGAGGGTACATGTGCTAGGTCTCCTCTGGTGGAGTTTATGCCAGTGACAGTCACTGAAGCACTACAGATGCTGGGAAGTCTGCATTGCATTTCCCTCCTTCCCATGGCACTTTGGACACATGTCCTTCCTGACTGGGGAAAGTCAGCAGGAGAAGAATTGGGTCCATTGTTGATGGAGACTCCCTTATAAAGGAGTCACCTTGCCAACTTCTATAAAAGACACTGTTGTGCAGCCATCATTCATACAAGTCATTGCTAGATGGTCATATAACAGCAACAACCAGAAATCCTATTTTTTAATCTGCACGTAGCCAAGAGGTTGCAACTGTTTCTTTCAGATGCAGACCTAATTACTGCGGTCTATGCAGTTGTCCCCTCAAGATTAAATTATTGCAATGTGTGCTCTACAATGCTTAATTCAACTCAAACTCAAACTGGAGTAGAATGAGATGGCCTGTTTGTTAAGTAGAGTTTCTCATTGTGAACACATGACACCAGTGTTTTGAGATCTCCACTGGCTGCCAGTTGGATTCAGGGTGGAATGCAACACATAGTTTTGACCTCTGATGGGCGTGGGACCTTTCAGAGATTGCCGTGCCTCTATCCCAGTGCAACAGTCTACATGTAATCAACAGACACACCTAAAGCAGGAGATTCCTTACTTTAAAAAAAAAAAAGGAAGATCTTGGCAGGGTACTCTCCATAAGTGGCCATCATATCTGCTGCCATGCAGAGCATGCATCTCTCTTCCCAGGCTTTTGAGAAGAGATGAGTGCATGGAGCAGTCTGGCATCTGTGGCTGGGCGTAAGTTTTTCCTTGTCCCTTTCCAGTTTCGTGGAGAATTTTTTGTTGCTTTACAATAGAGTGACTGCATTTTTAACAGATAGGTGCTTTTTAATGTTCTGATTGTATCTCAACAAATAAAATGTAAAATCAGAGCTCTGGGGCCTGGGTAGATTCCACTGGTCAAATCAGGAACAGCCTCCACAGTACGACACTCTTAGCAATTCAGATTAGTCTAGAGGAAGGTGCTTTTACCCTAAGCCATATAATAGATCAGTTCTCCTGACAGCAAATAGCCTTGCAGAGCATGATAGCATTTTCCCTTCTTTAACACTGCAATTCATCTCATCAAAAGCTCTACAAACATACTAATGGACTTCATATTGAAAAGCCTTATAGTTGCTTAGCTACCAGTGGAATCTACCCATGCCCCAGAGCGCTGATTTTACATTTTATTTGTTGAGATACAATCAGAACATACTCATCATGAGCATTTGTAAATATAGTATGAGATTTCTTTTATGCCTACAGCACACCCTATTATGGGTAATGTGCTAGGTGTACGCAAAACTTGCAGTACCCTTTAAAGGGCTCTTCTATATTAATGGCCACAAACAGGGCAAATAAAGCTTGTAGGGAAAAGTACTCTATTGAGTAATTCATGATAGGAATATCTTGCTTAGGTTGACAGCTGTAAGAAACTGTAAGCCACATTTTGCTCTCAGGTTAGCTGAAGTAAATTATGAAGAACTTCACTGGAGTTAAATTCAATGGAGCTAGTGTGGGTTTCCACTTCAGTAACCGAGAGCAGATTTTGTCCCAATTTGAACTAGGGTCACATGCATTTTGTCTCTTATATGAGGCAAAAACCTTGATCAGGTCTAGCAGAGACTTCAAATTTTTCCTTGCAAATAATATCTGTTGCTAACGTAGCCCTCTTCCCCCCCCCCCTTTTTTTTGGAGACTTGTGCACCAAACATTCCTGATTTCTGCAAATGTGAGAGCCACGGGTGGGTACGGTAATGTCTTTAATTGGAAATTGGACCTACTTCTGTTGGTGGAAGAGCTTTTCTGACCTGAAGAACTTCACTAACTAGACAATAGTAATGCTTAGCCAGATTCTGCCTTTTGAATAGTTCTTTACTTTATGCACTTGTCTTCACTACAGAAAAATAGGTATGTTCGTAACTCAAGTTAGCTAACAAGTTATCTTCACTAGGATTTTATCTCAAGTAAGCTAAGGTAGTTTTTAGTTTCCACAAAGGTTAGCAGGTCAAGTTAAAGCCTAAGTACACGAGTTAAGAACGCACCTTTTTTCATAATTAAGACAAGGTCTTTAAGTAGCCCCACTGAAATAAAGAGGAATACACATGTACTACTCAAAACAGGCAAATAGGCAGAATCTGGTCCTCAAAGAGTAGTGGTCATGGCAGCTGTGTTTTAAATGTTATTTTTCTTGACAGAATATTTTACATACAATTTTGTGTTCAGCTAAAAATTGTTATTCCAGGAAGCAGAAACTGAGTGGCATTGCTAATAAATAAAGGCTGGACAGTGATGAATGGGTTAGAGAACACTTTGTTTCCCTCAGAAGGAAAAATCAGATTGAAATACATCACTTCTAGCATATAACAGTTTCCTTTCTTATTGCTAAAGGCTGGTTTTATACGATAGAGAAACTCAGTAGTGGTGGAAGCTGTTGAAACTGGTTAGTCATTTTTTTGAGTTTGGATATTCACTTGTTCTTGAACTATTTTATTACTACTCTAACATGTTATTAATACTACTTGATGAAAGATGAAGTAACTTGCATTATTTACTTTTCATTTATTGTGAACTAGATAAGTCAGTAGTTTAATTAGGTACTTAAGATAGTAAAGATTTCTCTGTGGAATTATCAAACTGCACTGCAATGTGTAATGGCTGCCACTGAAGCTAAACTTCTTGTCACTAAAACCCGCTGAGTAACAAATTGCCTATTTACACATGTCATAAAATGGTCTACACCATCTGGTTGATATTGGACCATATCTAGAAGCAACATTTGTGTGAGCACCCTGAGATTCAGAAGTGGCAGCTATGTCTCTACTGCTTAAGACATTAAAACAGTTTTTGTTGTTTTTTTTAATTAAAACTCTGTGATTTCTGATTATGATTTTTAACAAGTGAACTCTTGACAGCATTGTGGCCCAACTCACTTAGCAGCTGGCAAATAGAGTGTTCTGTTTTCTCAAGGTTTCCGATCAAGTAAATTGAGTAGCAAGTTCCCACATCTTAATATGTCAGAAAAGAAGCTTGTTCTTCGACGCAGTAACCCATGGGATAAGGGTATTTAATTGTCCTTGCAATGCTGAGCCAGGGAAGAGAATGTAACTATGGATTATTCCAACCCGACCAATAAGCATCACTGTAGAATCACATTTCAAGGAAGCCATTGAGATGAAGAAGTCTAGAAAAGCATTTTAGGGTAGGGGAAAGGAAAAACAGGGCAAACACATTGGTCGAGATCTTTAATTTAGGGCAAGATTGGCACTTGCCCAATGAATCCGAGCAGGAGTGTAAGGCATCCACTTAAACCCTGCATGGGTTACTTGTGTTTGTGGCTCGCAGGCAGTGGGAAAGCAGCTTTTCTGGGGGCCTGTTGCTTCCCTGCTCATGCAGGTGGAACGGGAATGGTTGAACAGGGATGGGGTGGTCAAGTAAGGAGTAGATGGAGTCTTAATTCTGCATCCTCAACCCCACCAAATCTGTGTGTAGTAAATGGTTGCCCCAGATTAACTAAGGGTCAAATTATGACTACCTAAATCACAATTCATTCCCTTGTGTAATCCTAGAGCAGTGCAACTGTACAGTGCACCTTCCTATGCAAATTGTATTGTTACAATCCAGCCCACAGACAAAGACATTTGTCTTTATTTGACTTCATATTAAGATGCACCTTAAATAATACACAAGCAGTTTTGCAAATATATACATACAGAACTCAGCAAAACAACCAAGTTTCATGTTGGCACCAACTTTTTGAATCACAGGCTGAATTTAAGGTTCCTAATGAGAGGTTCTCCCAGTCCTACGAAGAATATACACGGGAAGCAGATGTTTGTGGTCACAAGGTGCAACTGTGGTAAAATCACTTATAAAGCTATCACCTCACCTTATCCAGGCATCAAATATATTCCAGATGGTTAAGAAAAGAAAATATGGTGAGACATGAGAAAACATACTATTCACCTTACATTAATATAAAGTTCTTTGTTCACCTGCTTCTTGTTGTAACATTCGTGTACTGTCTATTTTCCCCTGAGCTGTTGAGGAGTCAGCAGTATTAAACTACTGTTTGCTTCTGCAGGTCATTCTACCAATAATGCAGTAGGTGAGATCTCTGTGCAGGTGGATGTCTTTACACATCCTGGAACTGGAGAACATAGAGTCACTGTAAAAGGTAAGTTTCAAATAGGGACTCTTGAGTAGTAGGGTAGTTATTTTACCTCTGTAGTTGGCACTGATGCAACCACTACTGTAATACTGTTTCCCGGTCTTGTGTCCACAGTTCAAGAAGGATGTCAATAAATTGGAGAGGGTTCAAAGAAGAGCCATGAGAATGATTAAAAGATTGGAAAACATGCTCGATTTATTTAACTTAACAAAGAGAAGGTTAAGAATTGACTTGATCACAGTTTATAAGTTCATATATGGGGAACAAATATTTGGAAATGGGAACAAATATTGAATGATGAGCTCTCACAAAAGTCTAACAAGATCTGATGGCTGGAAGTAGAAGATAGACAAATTCAGGATGGAAGTATGCTGTACATTTTTAACAGTGAGGGTAATTAACCCCTGGGACAATTTACCATGGGTTGTGGTGGATTCTCCATCACTGATAATTTTAAAATCAAGATTGGATGTTTTTACATACTCTAGTTCAAACAGGAACTTCAGTGGGAAGCAGACAAGCTATTGCTGGTTTGTGGAGTGTAGGTTTTCTACCAGGAAAATCTCAGGTCGTCCTCCTGTGACTTCTCATTGGCTACACTAAGCCTTACTACATATTTAAGCAAGGATATTTACTAATATTTTGCATTGGGATTCTAAATGCATATCTAATTCCCGTTGTTCTCTTTAGTTGTAGCAATTAATAACCTAAACTGGCAAACAACAGCTATGTTCCGGCCATTTGTGGAAGTCTGTATATTGGGTCCTAACCTGAGTGACAAGAGGAGAAAACATGGCACCAAGACAAAGAGCAACACCTGGTCACCAAAATACAATGAAACATTCCAATTGTAAGTCTTCTTTTCTTTTAGCTGTCCATTTTATATAAATTGTTACAATTAATTTTTCAGCAAAAGCTGTGAGAACTGAAAATGCTACAGTCCAAGACTGCATATTTCACAGACCATAAGTATAGACATGATTTCAAAACTAGGGTTCTTTCGATGTACAGCTTGTTCGAAAGTCTGGGTTATAGCCTTGTCTTACACAGGGATGAATTTTGATCTTTGTGTTTTGGGCCTGTAACACTCCTTTTTGAAGTTCCAGTTTCTGAAACATGGAAGACAAGTGGATTTGGAATTAAGGACATTCTGGAAATTGTGGGGATTATTAGTTAGAAATGCACATTCATTTGCACGCACAGATGAGAAGTTAGATACCTAATTGGTCATTTGCATGTGCAGTTACCTCAATTGCTAATGCCAGTTGTACATGCATTTCTATAAATCTGGGCCTTAAATGTTTGTAAAAGTCTGAAGATGTAAAATGATAATTGCTATTAATAAGCACTTTTACTTAATCCCCAGAAGCTAAAGAACCTTTATGTTTGATTTAGGGATCTAAATTTCTTATCTTATCCAAATTCCTTTTACCTGCTCTCTACATCATCCTCCTTTTTCTAGATTAAGACCTCTCTTATAGCCTGCCCATTTCCCAAGCGCTGAAAGACCACACTCTGCCTCCATGTGCTGGGAGTTTCACTTTCTTGGCTTCTGCTGACCATCAGCCCTACCTCTGACCATGAAGCTGCTTGAGGCTCTATGCCAGTGATTCCCACTGACCCAGCTCAGTGGTATAGTCCTGAATGGGCCGTACACTACTGGAGTGCTCCCACTGGTGTGACCTCATACAGATGTGCAAGGTCACACTGTGAGGACACAATTTTGCTGTACAAAATGGTGTGCTCTATGCAACTTGACCTCCAGCATGCGGTGTAAAAGTGCTGGTATGCATTCTGGCTCCACTACACCTGTGCCCCCACTGCTTCATCAGTGCTGGTTCCTGGCTTCAAAGGCCATTTTAGAAATATCAGCTAGGAAGGCAGGCTGAGGAAAGCCAGTCAGAATTCATTCTGTTAGCAAGAATCCCTACTTGACCCCAACTCCAAGGGCAGCACCTTCCCTCCTCCTACCGCTATAACCTCCTTAGACAGCCCTTAATAGTCTACCAATCTGATGGTGGTGAACATCTTAGAACTGGCAAGTGTCCTCACAGGTTAAGCCATACTTTAGAAAGAGGGATATATAATGTGTCCCTTTGTGACAAATTATTCTTCTCATTTATTTGATGTGTTTGCACAGAGATAAATGTGAACAAAAGCAGTGGTCTGTTTACAAGAGAAATGTATTCAGAACAAATGTTCCCTTTTCCTACAACTCCAGGGTTATGGGGACACATGAAGTACAGGCATACCTTTAGAAGACTGAAACATCCTTAATGGCAATTGCCAACAATTATTTTCCTAAAATTTGATTTTTAAAAGCACAGTGTCTATCTTTGTCTCAACTACTGAGAATCACATAATGCAGGAGGACAATCTTAAGGATCTAAAGCTGGGTAAGATGGGAACAACTAAATACAATTAGCACCAGACTGGATGAGCATCAAGTAGTCAATATATTTAGTGTTTTTCATTCATTAAAGTAGCTTAATCTCCAAATTGGTAGACACCCATCCACCCTCAAGTACCTATCTTCACTGGATCTGTCTTTACTTTGTAAGATTAGTTACATAATAAGTAAGAGGAAATCATCACTACTAGAGGGAGCACTTGCAGTAACATTAGAGAAGGTGAGTTTAGGCTGCTTTTTAATCGCACACTTTACAAGCCTTTTGCTTTAATAACAGCAGTGTAACAAATGGATCTGTCAGGTACAGGATACTGAGCAGTACAGGGGCCTATGTTTTCCACATCTCTGTCTCCTACATCCAATAGCAATCAGCAGGTTAATTTTAAGCATGAAAGAAATTGAAAGGATCTACAATAATTTTTCTGGTAGTAAACATCTATTCATGCAAAACCTTTGAACTATTCACCAGTCTAACGTAGGCCTGATCCAATGCCCTCTGAAGTCTTACTGAGCCTTTTCATTGACTTCAACATGGAATAGCTCAACCCATAGTTAATATCTCTGCTGCTACCATTCATAATAAAATAGTGGCAAAGCAGAAATCAATGTTAAGAAGTATTCCCATTCTGTTTCATGCCACAAAATTATTTACCAAATAACTTCTTCCAGAGGTGGGTGGCTGGATTTTTTTTTATGGAGCTGAAAGACATTTTCAAGTTATGCCTTCTTTCTAAATCTTTTTTAATGCTAGACTGTTAGAATAATACAGGTTTTTTGAGTGATTAAAGCCTAAACTATGTTCTATTTGGATTACAGCATAGCAGCATATCATTAGAGTCAAGAGGATTCTAGACTGCCTAGCACTATGTTTCCTTTTTAAATCAAAGGAAATAATCATGTAAATCTTCTTCCTCCAGTGATAACCTGCCCTGTGTACTTGTTTTATGTGCCTCAGAATGAGTGAAATCTTGCAGCTATAACTCAAAATATGCAATGAGTTTCATGAAACAAAGCTCCACATATATACAGTCCTGGAGGCTTACAGCTCTGCCTATCCTACAAGGGGATTACTGTGTGCTGCAGGGTGAATACTAATGATATGCTTTCCTGCAGTAAAAGCATCCAGGACAGTATTATAGGAACAGTAGCAATGCACATTATTGTTCTTGCCAGTGCAGTGTCATAACTGGCAGGTTTCTCCAGTGGTTTGGCCCAACCATAAGTATATTTATATTTGACTGCAACTAGCCACCAGCACTTGGAGTGAAATTAACCCCATTGCAGGTGCTGCACACCATTCAACACAGTTCTTAAGTGGTTCATAGGGCTTTGTTTGGACCCCTCCGTCGGCATGAATTTCACCCTTAACACTCTGAAGGGCCTTTTGTGGAACTTAATGAGTACTTGTAAAATGCCTTAAATGAAAGGTGCTAGAAATGCATTGTTATTATAAATTTATATGAGAATTACAAACCTACCAATTTCTTTTTCATTATCTGGGGAAAGTACCTACTGCAGTCACAGTAGCTAAAACAGAATGTAAGCCTGACAACCAAATCGAGGCTGCAGAAAGAAAAGCTGCTTAAAAATAAATTAGCATCATGATGACAGCAATAGATGACATTTTAGCCATTACTTTCCCAAGCTAAATGCCCTCCCTCCCGTTTTTGTTTTGTTTTTTACACAGTGGAAACCAAACTATACAGCCATTTGACTGGAAATTATGATCAAACAGCACATAATCTTAGGGCTGCTGTGAACCTTTCAGATTGAGACCTGAAACCAGGCTTAACTGACACTGAGTTTCAATGCAAAGTTGAAATTCATAGAAGACTTTGATCAGACCCAGGCAGGTCTAGGAATCCCCTCAACTCTCAGGAAGCAGGGGGCTCCCTCACGCCTTCAGCAACAGACCCTAGGATCCCTTCTTTCTTTAGGTTGATATCTGTGTGAGGCCTAGTGACATGCCCTCCTACTGTCTATGGCGGTACAATCAGCTGGCCTCTTCCCTTCTTTCAGAGATGAGAGCTAGTCCACCCCACCCCTCCTGTTTCTTTGAGGGACCAGTCAACAGGCCCACTGCCCCAGCATGTGTCTATGGGACACATTTTCAGGAGAGCAGGATGCCTATCCACACGCAAATTCAGCAGCAGTCAGTACGGAAACATTTTTCTGTCATTTTGCTGCTTCAAAAGCCTTTTTGGGCCACCCAGCCCCTTCTCTATTTTTTTTTTTTTACTGATGTCCCCAAGCGCACACAGTGCAAATAGGGAAAATGCCTGTTCTGGGTTTGGGGAAGTGGGATCAATGATTACAAAACCAGCTGGTTTTGCGACGGTTTAGGTTCGTCCCAAGCAAACATTGGCCAACTGATCCCCCTACCCTTGGTTTGTCACACTTGTGGAAACCGAAAACAACCAGCAGGGCTGGATTAAGGCAATTCAGAGCCCGCCCGCATGTCCCCCTCACCAGCATGGGCCCACGCCTATTTGGAGTGCCAGCGCTGAGGTGTCTCTCTCTTCCTAGAGAGGCAAGGATGGCGGGTTGGGGTCACTTCTCTCCCACCCCCATTCGAAGAGCAGCAGTGGGGGACTCACTCTTCTTTGAGAGGCATGAGTGCTAGGAAAGAGCTCCCAGTACTCAACCCAACAGCTACGGTGGCTCTGTTCAGGTGAGTGGTGTCAGCCACGCACAGAAACTCTTCGGCTGAGGCAGTGTTGGCAAGACTCCCAGGCAGTAGGCTGTGGGGCTAGCCCTCCACAGAGAGGCATGGGACACCGTTCATCCCTTTCAGAGCTATTGTTCCAGACTGTCTGCGGATATCACAGTATTGTTACACTCAGGTCACATTCTCATCCTTTTCTTTGTGGCCACAAGAACTAGAAACTCACGATTATAAACGAAATCTGAGATTCTGACGTAAATACTGGACACTCTAGCTCTAGGCACTGCCTGTAATATCTAAGCTATAATCTGTCTCTGCCAATGGTTTCCATGCAGCATTCAATCTCCGCTTAGATCATAAAAATGAAAGCCATTATAATACAACCATTAAAATAAAAAGGTGGTTTGTTAGTACAGTAATTATGTGTTCTGAGGGTATAATGCTGTTCTTGGAAGCTAAATATTTTTTGGTTAGAAAGCTGCTCTATTCAGAGGCTGCACCTCACAGAGTTGTGAGTAAAAGTATAGCAAAAAAGTATTGTAAGACAAAATCCTTCAGTCAGCTAGGGGGACATGGAAGGCCTTGAAGCAAAGCCAGGGCAGGGACCAGAACGCAGAGAGCTACATAGAGGATAGATCCAATTGTCACCATAGAACTTTATTGATTCTCCCTGATCCTAGTCCACAGGAAGGTTTTAAGGGCATAGTGAGGGAACATCTAAAGGCCCCAAAACTGCTCCATGGCTTGTGACACATTCCAACCTCACTGATTCCCACTGCTTTGTCCATTGCCCATTTATTGGGGTGGAAGGGAAGGGACCAGAACTTGGCTCCTAGAAAGGAAACAAGTGTGCTATTATGTAATATAACAAGAATAGTAAATTGTAGGAATTATTTTGTTTATAAATGAATACGTGACTCAGACTAAAGAAACATTTTTCATTTTCTGATTGAAAAAGGTCATCACAGGTGTTTATGTTGTATTGAAAAAGTGTCCTAGGTAGATCATCATCAGGCTTACATGTTTTTTGTATGTAACTGTTAAATATTGCTAGTCAGTTCTTTACTCCTGGAAAACAGCTGGCACCCATACACTGAATCAGATATATATAAAATTTTCAATCGGGGTAGAAGCTCAATAGGAAATACACACAATTTACACAATACACAATTTCATACTGAATACGTCAAGGATATATCACATTACTATAGAAGTAACATTTAGAAAACAGACACCTCGGAGTGGAACGCCTCCCCTATAATTGTCATATAAAAACCATTTGCCCCCTATAATTGTCATATAAAAACCATTTGCCCCAACATTAAATTCAAAATTAATAGAGTAGGGAAAACAGATCAAAGATATACTAGAACTCCAAAAAAGTTTTTAGCTGGACAGGGGGGAAAGAGCCTAAATAAAGGTTAGTTGTGCCTTAAAGACATGTGAGATACTGTTCTGCATTCCTCTGAATTGTAGTTTTACAGCAGTTTAAATAGTTCTGTTTGGGGTAAAAAAAGCATAATTGGTCAATCGATGCTTAAACAACTGTGATTAAAATATTGATCATCTGCAATATTTCTGGAGAAAGGGAACAGAGGGTCTGATTATGCCAAATGTTGAGGAAGTTGCTGAATGCTTTCAATTTCCATTCAAGTCAATGGAAACGGAGGGCGCTCACTCAGCACCTTCCAGGATCAATATACAGTTTATATATCAATAATATTCTGTTTGCAGATGTAGAACTACCTCTGAAGTGAATATTAATTTTTTTAAAAGGTTTCTAAGCCATGTTAACCCTTTGGGGGAATTAAACTAAAATCCTTTTTCAAAACTCATCCTTTTAAACCACACAGCATTCTGAGTAACGAAGAAGGGCTGAGAGCCTATGAGCTTCACCTCTCTGTGAAAGATTACTGCTTTGCCAGGGAAGATCGCATTGTAGGAATGACAGTTATCCAGCTACAGAATACTGCAGAGAAAGGTAGCTGCGCATCCTGGTATCCTCTGCTGAAAAATATCTTTATGGATGACACTGGGTTGACAATCCTTAGAATACTTTCTCAGAGGACCAATGATGAAGTTGCTAAAGAATTTGTGAGACTTAAATCAGAAACAAGATCTGTTGAAGAAACTGCCTGAATCACAAATAATGCAAAGGTGTCACCGTCAAGAACATCAATACAATGTTATTGTCTGAATAGTGCATGCATGTGCAAATCAGTGGGAATGTTTAATTAACTCTGTTTCAGTGTTTGCCAGTACTTAAGTACTATATTTGCAAGGTATGTTGAGGCGCTGTACACCTTTTATACATATTTTGGTCTTTGGAAAAGTAATTGTTACAATGAAGTGCCAAAATCAAGATTAAGAGTAAATTATTAATGTTATATTTTAAAAAGTTGAGTTCATCTCATTGCAACTCCTTCACATTTATTAATGAATGGTTATTCTTTTGAGTTGATTAATTAGTTGTCTCTGTTAAATTACTGTGAGTTGCTTCTACATGTCTGAATTGAGTTACTTCCCTTATCATTATAAAGAATTTTGTCCAATTTCATAATCATTTTATGCTAACCTCATTTTAGGTATCTTACCAATAACTTTTTCTATCATAACTATAGATGCAGTTACTTCTAGAAAGTGTTTGTAATTTTATAATTACTGATATAAAGTAATGATTTTTGCATACAAACTGAAAAGGGTGGAAATATTTTATGCTGACCTTTTTCCAACCTTTCATAAATATCACTGTGAAGAAATACTGTTAACGCAAGTTCTCAAGAAGCTACTCTTATCAGAGTTTGTTACTGATGTTAGATATCTTGAGATAACTTTGTTCTTCAAAACTGCCAAGGCTACATCATATTTGTATAAAAAGGTAAGTTGATATCTGTAGAAAAAGACAGCAGAGTATACATGCTTTACAAAAATTTCATTTTTTTAAATGATACAGTACTGTATAAGAGTTAATCGTTGGGAAGATGTAAAGCTGCTGTGTGGTTTGTTTCTAGAAGTCATTTATGAAAAGTAATGATGCTGTTAGCGTTTTCACTCTGAAAGTTATAAATGTTGCTTTACATACTTAGCTGTAATATCAGTTAAGTGCTTTATTTCTTTTGTTTTAGAAAAGTTCAACAGTTTGTACTTATGCAACATTACTATGTATTGCACTGAAGCAAAATCCATGTCCTGTAAATATTTAGTGAGAAATTGTAAAATAAAGTATGAAAGAAACTGCTTCTAGTTTTGCAATTGACATTATTTATGTGCCTGTAGGCCTAAATTGCACTGTGAGCTAATTGAGTGGGGTGCAGTGTTGCATTACACTATGTCAAAGTATGGATACCAGTGTCTCTAACATTCCTTAAACATTTGCATCTCTTGTAAAAATAAGGTTTCATATGTGAACAATACATGCAAAATTATAATAAATCAGGCTCTTAATGCACTCATACTATATCTAATGTAATGTTCTGGCTCACGCGCACACACACACACACTTTCCATTGGCTTTGGTTTCAACTATCTTCGTTATTCAATTATTGGTTTGGTACTTTCATTGTTTAGGGGCAGAAACAACATTGGTGGACTTGATTCCAGTTTACCAATGAGGTATGTGTGACCTCATGTAGGTAAATCTTTCCAGAATTTCCTTTCAAGAGATTTTCATGGATTGTTGCAATATTTTTAAATCTTCTTGGTGAAAACACTCTTTCAGGCAAGAAACAGAGCTCGAATTTTAGAGAAATTGTGTAGTCTCTCAAGAAAGTTTGCTGTACTTAACTAAGATCACAGAGAGGGGGGAAAGGAGCTGACCATTTATCAACTGTTACCCTGTTTGTGTCTATACTTTGCAGAATATTTATTTAGGAAAGATGTTTTCATTGGTTACAAAAATCCCATTTTTTGCCATTTGCCAGAAACCCTTTTAGCTAAAGTAGCCATTGAATGTCAAATGTATTTAATTAGATCGGTCATTGAAGTCTACTTCAGACATTTCTGAGGATTCAAGTATTAATGCCTACTAAATGAAGGTTGCAGACCCTGGCTGAGATTTGCAAAGCTGCCTATGGGGTTTGGATGCCCTATTCCCATTAAAACTAATCTCACTGGTGTTTTAAATGTACTCTCTGTACACTTAAATGTTTGGGAGCAAACTGATCCCTGGAGTAGCTCTATTAATTTCATCGAAGATACACACCAGGTGTGAATTGAGCTCATATTATACATCCGTTGAAGTATAATTCATGTGGCCCTTTGGAAGTACATGATAAGTCATATTTCTCTATGTATTTAAATAGCTATTCTTTTAAAAGGTATAGCTCAGTGTGGGAACCCTGGCTGACACTTAAGTGATTCATACAGTTAAGGTGAAAGTCAAATTGCCTTACAGTAGTGCTCCCAAAACCCATTAGCAATCAACAAGATTTAATATGATAGGACATGAATAGACTCAATCTCAGATAGAAAAGGAGAACATCAGAGAGTGAGACATTACCTCTAGATAAAAGGCAGAGGTCCATACACGATTCATCTACTGACATTTTTTACTGCATTCCACTATGGCTCCTGAAGTTAAACAGGAAAGGCTGGATTCTACAGGGAAAATGGGTTTCCTGTTTGTTTACCTAAAGCGTGTTTGTTGTATTTTTTCTGATTGTTGTATATTATGTTGTAAAATGTTGTACATTTTGCTGTATAATGGATTAATAAGTTATCAAATAACGTAAATGTTTATAATTCAGAACTACCTATAAAGGGATAAGTATTGAAGTTTCCAAAAAACATATCACTGCTGCTCGCAAGGAGCAATTTGTTAGTTTTGCACACCAAAAATCATCTGACAGTGTAGTAACCAAAACCACAAACTTTGTAAACTACAAGTGTGAAGAGTTTATGATGTACCTTCATGTTTCCTTATTTTTAACAAAGAAATATTTACTTACTGTATCAAGGTTTGTCTTATGACGGATTGAGGTGGAAAATGTATTATCCGTACATTACAGAGCTCTGTTATAAAAATGATATTTAACTATTGATCAAACTGCAAAATAAAATGCTATTCCTCAGTGTATATAACTTGAAGTCATACATTTTCTGTGGCATAAATTATCGATTCTGACTAAGCTAAAAGACTGATATATTTGGCTTCCAAAAAGTAAACATTTCATTATTTAAAAAACTAATTTGCATTTATATATTAGTTCATTTTTCTGACTCTTGTGAAAAAAAACACCATTGATGAATGGGTTTCTATTAACTGTTTCTTTGGTTTAATTTCTCACTGATAGCAGAACCAATGCAAAACAATTTAAACCGTATTCATTTCATATTGGTTTTTAAGATATTACAATATGCATCGATTGAATATAATTTAATTTAAAACTTGCAGGAGACCCCCCCTATTACCACCACCACCACCACCAATTTAAGAAAGGAAAGAATTTCTAAGCTGCAAGAAATAACCATTTTATGGAAATTTCTCAACCCATATGACATGTATCTGGAGTAGCCAGGAGATCCACATTGACAGTGGTCTGCAATGTGACAGCACTTAAGGAGCTAATGGCATATTTAAACATGTTGGACTGAGTTACAGAAGTGCTTCAAGGGTTAAACAGAGTGGTTTTAAATTTTGTATTGAATTTTATAGGATGCAAGCATAAAGCCTTCAAGACTGAAGAAAAATTTTGGACAAGTGTGGTTTGGCATGAATATGAGCTATGGCTGTTGCCATATATGTCTATAGCATCTGCATTTTGTACTGTAACCCCAGGGAGAGACCACAGAACAAGTTAGTGTAATATTCTAGTCCAGAGGTCACAAACACATGAACAGACACTTTACCTGAGTGGGACAAGAGAGGTCATAATAAAGTAATATTTCTAAAGCGATACAGCTCACCAACAGAAAACAGAGCCCCAAAACATAACATAATAGAAGTTGGTTTTAATAAATCCATTTTATATTTACCATATGCCAAAACAGGTAGTAATAATTCAATAGGTTAAATACTGACAAAACCAGCTGTGTAGCCAAACCCAGCATCCATTATGGACTCTGAAATTGCTAATCTACCACAATTTTATTGAGAGAGAAAATGTGACCAAAGACACCATGGTTAACCTCTGCTTTTTCAAAAGTGCCCTGGGTGTCATCTTCCACCTGGATAAACACCAGAAAGGATCTCAGTATATCACATCTAAATGACACCGCCTTTAACAGTGCAGCACTCGTACTACACTGCCAGTCCTTTCTGTGGGACTATGAACCCCTGATTTCCACGCCCCTTGACAGAGAGATCTGTCAAATGAACCATATTGTTCTTATGGCTTATTAGTATAATCTTTTAGGATGATGGAATTTCCATCAAAAATAAATGCGTGGATAGGGCCAGCAGCAAGAGACGCAGTTGTCAGCATTTAACTCTGAAATTACCTGAAAACTTATTTCTGATTCTCCTAGACATTAATATCCATGTGTTGTCTGATGTGTGAAAATCAGAAATTACACCTATGAGATTAGAATCTCCTATATAGCACACACAATGGCATTAAAAGTCCCTTCAAAAATATCAGAGACAATAAAAGCACACTTTAAGAGCTGTTTTGTTGAATCTTAGTTACAGAGAATTCTTCTGGAGGCTCAGAAGAATCAATAAATCCTTTATGAAGACTGCAGAAAATAGTCTCTTCTCCCTTTTCCCCCTACTCTCCCCCACAGTATCCATTCAAGTCAGGAGTAAGTTATCTGCGCCTATCATAAAACTCTTTGTCAGTTGTTGTGTAGCATCTTGTTCAGTTGTGGATCAGCTAGAGAAGAAAGATATTTATATATAATAAGGCAACAGTTCAGCTATAAGGTTGATAGAAAGAAAATCAGACAACTTCTCTGAAAATACACATCACAATCCCTCCTAATGCATGAATGCTGTATCCTCATATGCAGGGCTTTTAGTAAAGCAACTAAAGAGGGAATGCTCGTAAAGGTCATAATTTGCTGAACCGGAACTGATGCACTGAATAACTGAATTGAATTATAAATTTGACAGTGCATTGGAGATTAAAAAGTTGGAAAATTACGGGTGAATGATCATTACCAGTACATATTCTAGCCATACTCTCCCCCACACACATACATATCTACTGCATTCTGTGAAATTATACGTACTCCAATGGGGATAGTGTTGGAAGTACTATAACTACCTGAATTGCTGAGTATCTGGGAAATGACAGAAAACACAAAATACGATACACCCATCTAACCAGGAATCTGGAGAGCTGGACAGTCATGGCTCTCAGACACACCTGCACATCTCTGAAGACAAAGACTGAGAGCAAAATTTGGTCCACAGAGTTGTTTATTTCAGTCTCAAAACTGAACTCCATCAAAATTTAATATTAGATCATAAATTAAGCACTCTCATACAGTTAAACTGAAATGTTTATTCAATACCACATCTTTGCACTTCCAAAAGGGGAAAAAATCATGAAACTGTAAGCTTGCTAAAGCCTGAGAGCACTGATTTGTATTTTAATTTGATTTGAAATTTTGGAGCCATGTCGTTGTGGTAATTCCTCCTGCCTACCGTTTTCCAATTATGCTCACACCCTAACTCTTTCAAACTGTTGTCTGTGTGCCCCTGGGAATGTTTGGTTTGGTTTTATTTAGGACAAACTCACAAACCCTTTACTCACACAAGTAGTTCCATTGAGGTAAATGAGACTACCCTCATGATTAAGAGTTTACAGGATGGACCAGAAGATTGTAAGCTTATGGGGCAGGGAATGTGTTTGTAAAGCACTGAGTAAATACAGTGCTATTTAAACATTTTATAACCTAATGGAAGAGGGCAGGGGGATTCCAGAGGATTGGAAAAGGGCAAATATAGTGCCAATCTATAAAAAGGAGACTAAGGACCACTTGGGGATTTACAGCCCTGTCAGCTTAACTTCAGTACATGGAAAGATAATGGAACAAATAATTAAGCAATCAATTTGAAGACACCTAGAAGATAATAAGGTGATGAGTAACAGTCAGCATGGATTTGTCAAGAACAAATTAAACCAAACCAACCTAATAACTTCCTTTGACAAGGTAACAAGGCTTGTGGATTGGGAGGGGGGAAGTGGTAGGTGTGGTATATCTTGACTTTAGTAAGGCTTTTGATACTGTCTTGCATGACCTTCTCATAAACCAACTGGGGGAAATACAACCTAGATTGAGCTACTGTAAGGTGGGTG